CATTTTGTATCTGAACCACTTGATCTACATTATCAATATATATAATTTATATATATTTATTCATTTTTTGATGCACAAGTTCACCTGCATCGTTTGACCTTAGTACTAGGTGAGCACTTGACCAATATTTCTTATATTGTATATAGAATTAATTGCATTTTACATTGTTTTCTGATCATAGATCATGGTCAACAAGTAAAATGTTAATAAATTATTTTACTTGGGTGATGAATTGCCAATAAATACACCATAGACACGAATATCTCAGCAGCCATTTGCATCAAAGATTTATTGACTACAGAAAAACATACCTTATCCAAGTAACTGATGTTGAGATGCTCCAGTACTGGGCAGTGTTCAAGACTAATAAGTCCAGCATCAGTCACTTTCTCATAACATCCTTCAATGTTAAGTAAGCTAGAATTACAGATTGGAAATTCAAAAAGATTTGTTAAATGCCCAAGAGGGCGCATTGACGATAGAATCACTATGAGAAATTTATAATACTAAAAAATTGCTCCATATTTGTTTTCCTGAAAACTAAAAGTTAATATTCCCAAACAATAATATATAATATTTTTTATATAAAATCTCAACTATGTATATATTGGGGTATGGAATCGACAGCTGTATTAATGTTTAATTATTAATTGAGTTGTATTTTTGCCTTTTTTTTTAAATATGATAAAGCCCAGCTAATAATATGCAAAGTTAAATTAGAATGCATTGTTTCCCTCACAAACAAGCAAATTTAAAACTTAGTATTAAAGATCAAATCTGCTGAATTTAAACCGAGTGAATGTTTATATAGTACATACTTTTTTTTCTGAACAGTTTTCATTATTTGTTGAGCAGTTGTTTAAAAAGCCTAAACCTATTATGACATAACCGTCAGGATTAGATTTTACAACCAGTTTCTCAGAGTTAATTGTACAAGATTTTTTTTATTTATTTCAATTTGGAAGACACAATATCTCAAAAGTTATAGGTGCCAGACACACCAACATTGAACTTCACCAAGACTATTCATTGAATGATAATATACAAAAAGTTTAAACACAAACAATTGTTTTTTTTTGTTTCTTAGAAGATAACTAGATAAATCCAAAATTTGTTAACAATGATGACACCGCTAACCCGTAGACCTTTAATTTCAATACAGGCAAGGCAAACTAATCATACTGTGGTAAATGTCAAATATTTTTAGTGAATTATAGTAAATAATTATAGTAAACTAACCGTAGCCGCTTACATCCTTTTGCAATTGCCATGACAACAGTATCATCAACACTCTGATTCCCAACTAAATATAGCTTCTTGAGATGAGATAATGTACACAGTTTGCTTAGTCCATAGGCAGTAACTGGGAAATAAAAATATTCAAAGAAAGTACAGATTTGAACCAAAAACAAAATCGTTTTGACAGCAATAACAACAACACCAACCTCTTCACCTACATTCAATGACTTAATAAAAGAAAGCTTAGAAAGAACTCTCATGTGCTGAAGGTGTTGGCGCCATGAAGTACAAATAAGGAATATTGCATTTAATATATATTTACACTAACCACATGTGCTTCTAATAGAACAAATACACCATTCAAAAATATAACTGCAAGCAATAATCAGGGTGGTTTCAATTACCTCTGGTTTAACAATTATAAATATTTAATGAAATAATGATCATATATGATGACTTGATATTTTGCTCATATATCACCAGTTGCATGTCTCTATCTGGAACAGTACTTAAAATATTATATTTATCAATTTTATTGAAGTCACATAACCATATATAGTCATCTAAACATTAGTCATATCGCATAGATCTCAACCAAAAACTAATCACGTCTGTGCAATATCCCGGTGCATCTATCTACCAAGTTTCATTGAAATGTATTGTATAGTACTTGAAATATCACCAGAAAAACCAAACATTTACTCATAATGCAAATCAGGTAATTCATATGCATGGGTATTAATCCAAAACATATCAAGTCTGTGCATTGTCTTATGACATATATGTACTAAGTTTCATTGTAATGTGATGATTAGTACTTGAGATATCAGTGGAAAAACCGAACTAATCATAAAGCAAATTAGGTAATTAATATGCATGGATTTTTACCCAAAACTAATCAGGTCTGCACATTGTCCCAGAGCATTTATGTATCAAGTTTCATCAAAAACCAACATATGGATCTTGAGATATCCGTGGAACAGATGGACACACACACACATACAGACACAGTAACTGTAATAACTCCCATGTGTGGGAGTCAAAAATTACAAAATGAAGTGGTCATTTTTTCATGAATCATTCTCATGTTACATGTCCCATGTTGCATGTCTCATTCACTGTCCAATGTTTTATTATTCGTAAATCAACAACACGTGCATTTCTTACCATCTTTATAAAATCCTTCCATGTGCAGTTCTTCAATGTTCCTACAATTCTACATTAAACAAAATTACAATAATTATGAGCAATTATTTTAGCGAAAATGCTAATTATCTCTTAAAGAAGAAACACTAAGAAATATTTATAAAATGCATTAGTAATAATTTATGTACAGTGCTTATGAAAAGTTCTAAGAATGAAACCAGGGTTTGGAGACAAGTTATCAACACTGTCATTGTGTTTTCTTATTTACCATCATGTTTCATCTTGGCCGCAACAGTTAATATCACATGTTACATATAGGAGTTACTGTGGAAGGTACCAAACACAGTTGACGCAGACACAACAAACAATATGTAACACCTTTCAAGCATTAAATCCCACATACAGTGCATACAAGAGATGATCATGCAACATGTAATCTGTCCTCAGCTGTAGGACCAAATCAATTATCTCCAGGAAATATATCAAACACAATTACAGTACTCGTCAAACTTAGAGTCAATGCTCGACTAAGTGTCCACTCCCACTTTTCAAGCATTTCTATTTTCAAAGTCACTGTTTGACTTTTCCAAATACTGGTAATCAAATTTCTATAATATAGTGTGGATATGCACCACGGTGAAAATTGTGCAAATATGTGGTTCACAGTAACCATAGTAACCATGTGCAAGCTTCACTTTGACAATGACCTGTTTTTTTTTTGTTTTTTTTAATTTTTTATTAATTGTATAATGGCCTCCGGCCCATTACAATCATGCAAATTAATTATTGACAAGAAATAAATTTACATTACAAAATATGTATGAAAATATAGATGAAGAGTGTGTCAATACATAATATAAGCCCTATATAATAATGTGATGGGGATATTATTATTTGGCTTTTAGAGGAACTTAATAGTT